CTTGTTCATCATGCAAAAGGAGGGGACATCTATCGGCAGTATGTAAACGAAGCCAACGGCAGGATCACGTGCAGCACCTCGACGACGGCGAAGAAGATGACGGCAGCGAAGAAGAGGGGAAGTACGATTTCCTCATGCCCATTCTACACCTAGGGATGATCCTACTTGTGGCTCATCCGATACTCCCTTCTATACCTAAAGCTAATCCTACTTGCAGCTTATCCGAGGGAGTAGTATAAAGATGTAAAAGCAACATTGAGCATGGTTGTGATGTCGAGACCGGGACCAACATTAATAGGACGTCAATGGTTAAAAATTTTGGGGTTATGGCCGTTAAAACATTTAAATGACTCAGCAAACGAGATTGATAAGTGCCATAAAATCGATAATGCTGACGTTGTAAAAGAATTCAAAAGTGAATTCCCGCGATTGTTCGGTCCGGGCCCAGGAATTTATAATAAAGGAATGCTCAAAATCGTATTGAAGGATAGTGCAGTACCGGTATCGTTAAAGGCTAGGAGACTACCATTTGCATTAATGGAAAAAGTAGAAACTGAGATAAATCGGTTGGTAAAATTAAAGCACCTCGAAAAAATCGATATTAGTGAATGGTCGACACCGATCGTGCCGGTTATTAAAAAAGACGGATCAGTAAGAATTTGCGGTAATTTCAAGCTGACGATAAATCCATATTTAGTAATCGATCGTCATCCGATTCCGTTAGTAGACGAAATTTTCGCTGCGCTTAGCGGAGGAACGAAGTTTTCGCAAATCGATTTAGAACATGCGTATATGCAAATACCCGTCGAAGAAAGTTCGAGAGATTATTTAACCATCGTCACGCACAAAGGGTTGTTTAGGTACACAAAGATGACCGAGGGAATCGCGTCGGGACCTGGCGACTTTTAGCACGTACATTAACCTAGAACCCCCACCACTAAAAATCGAAGTCGGACTTATGGAAAAATTTAGTGCTAATATAGTGCTAATTTATTGCCCTAGTTAAACATTG